TGACTATCTCAAGAAGATAATTAAACCGGAATGATGAAAAATTATAAAAAATATAAAATTATGTTTAAATTAATTAGTACTTGAAATCAAGTATATTTATAATGAATAATGTATATCTAACATGGGCTATTAGAAAAACACTATTTAGGTCTTTTATGTCCGCACAAAGCACAGTACATTCACTAGTTATCTAGAATAAAACAAGCTTATTAAATATGTTACAAGACTCTCACATCTTAGACGGTAACTAATAAGTTAATGGTTTTGGAGAAAGTGGTCATATTTTTTCCGAACCAAAATTATTTATTTTGCTTATTTTACAGAAAAAAGGAGAGCATTGAAGCAATGGTAAAGTAATTTTCGTGTGATCTATAGGCCACAGGTTCGAGCGTGGAAGCAGTCACTAATGCCTTACATTAGGATAGATTGTCTATATCACACTCTTATGTGTGTGACTCTTCCTCGAACCATGTGTGAATGCGAGATGTTATGTGCACCAGGTTGTTTCTTCCTTTTTTTTTTACATAAAAAAATATTATTGCTCATTTGAAGCTATCAATAATGTGCAATTTATAACTAAATTCAAAGAAAACAGGGACCGCATAATATAATGTGACAATATTGCTCTTTGCATCTCTCCATACTTGCGTCCAAATGCACAGGACCACTAGTCCTCCAACTCTACCCATCAACAAATTACAACCACAATTGCCTAATGCTCCTTTCCCACTTGAAATTTGCGAAAATCGAAATTAGCCACAATACATTACAACTTTTTTTTCATCAACAAATACATAATGACATATAAATTAACGAGGATTAGATGACCGGGCTGGCACAACCGATAAGTATCTTCGTAACAGTTTTCAAAAGATTGTATTTATTGGCAAAGTTGCATCCACAAAAATCATCTAAATATCACATAAAAACTAAAAAAAGTCAAGTTCATGAAAATTGTGAAAATTAGCTATGGAAGATGAAACACGACTGTGGGAATTCCAAGAACTTGTTTATGAAAGAACATAACGATCTTAAATATATGTGCCATAATACGTTGTTTTTGAAATCCCACAATAGCAGTACTAGAAAGATATTTTTTATCTACATTATATTTCGATCTTCATACTGTTACAATAATTTAAAATATTCATGAATTTAACATACATTGTTGATCGACAAGATGCGAGGCGGGGTTAACTCACGGTTAAAGGTTCGGAGGCAAACCTTGAAATCTAAAGGTTTCAAATTGAGCAGGACCAAAATAGAATACTCGGAGTGCAAATTCAATGGCGGAATTCATGAAGAAGACATGGATGTGAAGCTTGATGCTCAAGTTATCCCCAAGAGAGGTAGTTTCATGTCACGCCCCGACCTCTCAACCAAGATATCCCAATTAAGCAAGCTTATTTGATGCTTTCTACCCGACCTTACCCATGAATAATGCGAAGACGAATATCAAGAACTAGATAACGAAAGAGTAACACGTACAACACCGATTTCATTTCTTTTAGAAACACCATCTAGAATTCAAAAAATAAATTACACATTCGTAGTTTAAAAGTGGAAACATGTGTTACAAGTACATCATTTCTAGTTTGACCTTCCCAAATAAAAATACACTCCACACTATGTCTACGGAGCCTCTAATTGATACAAAAGAGTAATATGATAGTGCCGGCGACAAGGCCCCGGCTATACCTTAAAACACTATACATAAAAAATAAAAGACACAAGAACCCGATATGAAGTGGGCCTCACCAAATCAACTGAGAAGGGGTGTACCGCTATCACTAATCGATGTCGCATGTTGTGGAACCAACTGCATCCATTAAAATAAAGCGCCCCCAATAAAAGAGATATTAGTACACATGAAATAGTACTAGTATATAAGCTAAACACCCTCTCAATGAATCGAGTAACATCACAATAGGAGAGAAACATGAACCCATGAATAATATTAAAATACCCATGAATAATATTAAAATACCATATCAAGATTTAGGTAATTGTTTAAGTAATAATCAATGTGTTAGGTTGGGAGATCTTTAGCACCGATACACCATCGTGCTTATAGTACGGAGTCTGATCTCTTTCCGATCGGCTAAGCCATCTCACCCAAAGTATGAGGCTCGACATCTAAATGCAATACCATCATGTGCGCGACATGACTTCCAATCTCTGCCTGATCGGTTAAGCTGTCTCACCACAATGTCATGTGGGTCGACATCATCTTTCGCTAGTAATCATCTCATCCCAATTAAGGGAAATAATCTCAACATTTCAATCTCGTCCCAATTAAGGGGAATAGTCTCAACACATCAGCATGGGGATTTACCCCTCAATCACTCCTACACCGACACATGTAGTTTCGGGGTTAGGTTATTTCAACCTATCCTTCCTCGGTGACCAAACGATACTCCCAAATTATTTATCATATAAAGGAGTTATAGCTCATTTCATAATCTTTCACACTTCCTTTAATTTCATTGGTATTATTGGTTAGAAATGTAATTTTCATTCTTAGCGCGATGATCGCTTTTCACAACTCATATTTTCATTCTTTTATTTCCTTCCAAGGATCATCATAAATCATTTAAGGATGTTAGAAATATTGAGAAAAACTCTATCTTCAGTTTATAGATATGTAAAAATTCAAAAGAAGTTGAGGAATAATCATAAAAGAGGAGCATAGCATTATACAATCGGAATATGAATCAACTTATAGGCATTTGGACTAGCTAACCATAGAAGCAGACAGTAATGACGAAAATAGGAACTTGATCAACCATAGTCGAAGTTTACGAGAATCTGGAGGAATCTGATTCTACGGAAAGAGTGTAGCCAACATACCTCGCTTGAGCTTTTCTTAGATTACTACAACGTTCCAGAACTCCTAGCGACTTCAATCTATTTAGAGGCATGACAAAATTGAATCATAATTAGGAAGAGGTTCATGGGAGCTTCTCACTTAGGCATTTCATCGAACACTGGGGGTGCAAATTCGACTATAGGGTCCTATGGTGATGATCCTTCACTCCACAACCAATCCCCACATCAATAGGTCACCCACATATGTTCTACAACCTCCCTACCACCTTTATTGGCACATACATGCATAGTTAACCAACTCTTATTCTCAAGAACCATATCCCCCATTCCTTTTAATCAGCTAAATCCGAAATTGAGAGCTAGGGATAGAATCTCACCTCTTTTGTTAACAATGTTGCAAGCTTTCCTTATGAATTCTCCAAGGCTTAAGCAAGAAAATAAAGTGAAAAATGTTGGAGCTCCTTCTTTCTCTCTAGTTCCACTCCTCTCTCTTAAAATACCAGAATTTTCCTTCAAAAACGGTCCCTTAAGTCTATTTATTAAAATAGGGTCGGGTTAGAAAATCCCACAATTTCAACCTCCATGTCGGGTCTGCGGTCGCAGACCGGACCGCTAAACGGTTATGCAGTCCGCAAAGTGGACAATGAAATGGTCCTCCAAAACTGGATTGTCCTGCCCCAGTCTTCGATAGATTTGCGGTTCGTAGATCATTATGCGGTCGCATAACGCACCGCAGAATCTCCCTCTGAAACTTTCTCATGCTGGTTCTCGATGGAAGTACGGCCCGCGAAATGATAATGCAGTCGCACAATGGACCACAAAATGACCTAAAAAATTGGGTTTTCTCATGTTCCACTATGCACGAATCTGCGGTATGCGAAGTAGTTCTGCGATCGCATATTGGACCGTAGGAATGCTATGTTCTGCAAAAATTATTTCATCAACTCCCCAGTGCATTACACAACCCAAAAAGTCCATACTGCGGCGAGCTTTCAAACACGTTAGCCTACCTCGACACCACGAAGCCTCAGATTCTTGGTAAAATTTTACGAGGCCTTACATTTCAAGTATCTCGGGTCTATTCTCCAAGGTGACAGGGAGATCGATGAGGTTGTCATGCATCGTATTGAAGGGGAATGGATAAAATGGAGGCTCACATCCGGTGTTCAATATGATAAAAATGTTCCGCCAAGACTTAAGAGTAGATTTTACAGAGTGGTGATTCTACCAACTATGTTTATGAGGTTTAGTGTTGACTAATCAAGAACTCTCATGTGTAGAAGATAAAAGTAGCAGAGATGAGGATGTTGAGATGTATGATTGAGTTTATCAGGAGAGATAAGATTAGGATTAAAATTATTTGGGACAAAGTGGAGTGGCCTCCGTGGAGGAGAAGATGTGGGAGTCGAGGGTGAGATGGTTCGAACATGTTAAGAGGAGAAATATTGAAGCTCATGTTAGGAGATGTGAAAGGTTGGCCATGACGGGTTTGAGAAGAGGTCAAGGTAGGTAAAAGAAGTACTGGAGAGAGGTGATTAGGCAAGACACGACGCCGCTTCACCTTACTGAGGATATGACCCTTGACAGAATGGTGTGGAGGTCGATGATTAGGGTAGAAGGTTAGTAGGTAGTTGAAAATCTCTCATTTTGTTATTAGTAGCACTAGTAACACTCATGTCCCTTCATATTCTTAGATCTATATTACGCCATGTTGTTTAGTTGACTTCAATTATCATATTTTCATATTGTTACTATTTGGTACTACTTATTCGTTTCCCTCTCTTTTTCTTCTCCTTCTTCTCCTTGTTTTTATTCTTCTTACCTTTTTTGAGTCGAGGGTCTATTTGAAACAACTTCTTTACCTTCACTAGGTAGAGATAAGGTGTACGTACACACTATCCCGTTCAAATCCCATCTAGGAGAATATACTGAGTTTATTATTATTATTATTATTTTATTTGTAATTATTGATGGATCTTACTAACATAATACATGACGGTAATACGTTGTCGCCTACTTCCGAAACCCCCACTGAACCTTTGGCTCCACGCCTCCAATTATATTTTGGTCCACACAGTAGCACTTGGACCCTCTTCTCCGTACCCCATTGGCAAACCCACAACCACAATTACCTAATCCTTATTTTTATATAAATACACATATCTCCCCTTCCCCCTTTTTCCTTATCATCATCACACTGCAATTACCAAATCCATTCCTCTACAGCTTCTTCTTTTCCTTACCAATCCACCTCCAATCTCTTTGAAATCAAGTTACAGAAATCTTTTGTTCGTGTAGGAAATTCGAGAAATCTTAGGAAAAAAAAATATTATTGTTGTTTAGAGAGAGGGTAAATCCCAGGTAAACAAGTTGTAGACATCACGGCTATACACAAAGCAAACCGCCGACCATTCTTACATGTTCGTTCAGTACGACGTAAGGGTTGTGTAACTGCCACCAATCCTGCGCCGCACGGCGGACGTGGCGCTTTGCCCTCTGAAGGCGGTAGTCCTTCCGACCTCCTCTTCCTTGCCGGCGGTGGTTCTCTCCTTTCTTCTTCCTGCTAGATTTACTTACTTATATACCTTACATAGTTAATTCCTTCTCCGTAAATTACTAATTGTTTTGCACATTAGCAATTATTAAGGTTGTTCTTGTACCTAGTATTTTTACCTTGAAAAATCAAAGCAAAAAAACCAAACATGATGCTCAAGATTAAGAGGGTTCCTACACTTGTTTCCAACTTCCAAAAAGAAGAGGCTGAAGAAACTCTTGCTCGTGGTGCTGGCTGTGGCCGCAATTGCCTCCGATACTGCTGCCTTCCAGGTAACTTTTTTTTTATTGTCTTTGTCTTAATTTGCTCTTTTCCGTTCTTTTTTTTTAAAAATTTTATTTTGCATAATATTAGCCCGAGATGAGTTTAAACGGAGTAACATGGTCAAATTGACCAGCTTTTCAGTTAAATCAGACTAGATTACTGTAAAGTTACAATTTTTAACTACTCAAATGGTGAAAAATCTACTGTTTAAGTGTTGGTTAAAGTTTTACTTTGTGTGAATCTACGGAAACAGAAAGTGTCAAACATTTTGGAACAGATAATTGAGGCTCTTTGTAATTGGGTTTAATCTGTAGCTGATTTAGCAGAATATTGATTTTGTTATTTGGATTGTGAAAAGGGTCAAAGCTGCCGCTGTATGCTTCCAAGAATTTGAGAAAGGGCAAGTCTGTTGCCGATGAAACCAAGGAACCTCCTGTTGACTTCTTGGAATCCCTCCTTCTTGGGGAAGTAAGTCTGAAACTTTTATTATTTTAATGGAGTATCAAATTTTAGATGAATATTTTGATTAGTTCTGAACTTGATGTCAATTTTTGATTATATCTAGTGGGAGGATCGTCAGCAGAAAGGTCTCTTTCGCTATGATGTCACTGCTTGCGAAACCAAGGTCTTTACTCTTTTCCCTTTTACTCTTTTGTCTTTTGCTTACTGTAACTGATAAGTTCTTTTTCAATTTTAGTTGATGCCTACACGTTTTACTTCAGTAGTTTCGAGTTAGATGGACTTGATTTTGAAATATTGTTTTAAACAAAGTTATTCTATAGATAATGACAGGAGTGGAAAGGGAAACTTTAATATGGTAGAAAATCATGTAGTTCTGGAAAGGTTGGATCATGTCTTTTGAAACGTTAAACATGGTCAATGATATTATGAGCTGCAAATGCATGATACCTTTTTGTTCCAAAAATTTTCGGGTTTATAGACTATATAAGGTTAAGGAAGAAGTGGTCATTTATGTCTTAGTTAAGGAAGTAGTAGTCATTTTTCTCTTACTCTAACATATTGCGGTAAATTGTTGATACAAATGCTATGCTCTTGAATTTTCAAAACCGAAAATGAAGTGAATGAAAACTAGACTAGCTTTTTGTATAGGTGCATGGAAGTATGTGCTGTGATATAGTAGTACATGGCTCTTATCATGTTTTTGCTTCAGAATCTTGCTGGTTTTGACTAATGTGAAGCAAGTATACTTCATTTGTGAATCTGCCTAAATTTAATTTGAAAATAAATTGGTTTAGGTTATTCCTGGAGAATATGGTTTCATTGCTCAACTGAATGAGGGAAGGCACCTCAAGAAGAGGCCAACTGAGTTTCGCGTTGATAAGGTGCTGCAGCCTTTTGATGGAAGCAAGTTCAACTTCACCAAAGTTGGTCAGGAGGAGTTGCTCTTTCAGTTTGAAGCAAGTGAGGACAACGATGTCCAATTCTTTCCAAATGCGCCCATTGATGCCGAGAAATCTCCAAGTGTTGTTGCCATCAATGTATGTTCTTCGCTAGTTTTGCATATATTTTGGAACCCCTTTGTGTAAGTAGAAGCATTTATTGATGAGTGTATTGGTGTTCAATGCAACAGGTCAGTCCCATTGAGTACGGACACGTGCTTTTGATCCCTAAGGTCCTTGAATGCCTTCCCCAGAGGATCGACAGGGACAGCTTATTGCTTGCACTGCAAATGGCTGCCGAAGCAGCAAACCCATACTTCCGATTGGGTTATAACAGCTTGGGTGCATTTGCTACTATCAACCATCTTCACTTTCAGGTTTTTGTCTACAACACTTTATGTGGTTCCCATGTTTTTAGATCCATTTCCTTGAAAACCCTAGGGATTAATAATTAGAGGGGAATTCAATTTCGTCATTGTTGCTCTATGCAGGCTTATTACCTGGCTGTGCCATTCCCCATGGAGAAGGCCCCCACTCGGAAGATTACCTTTGCTGATGCTGGGGTGAAGATATCTGAGATGCTGAATTATCCAGTTCGAGGCCTTGTCTTTGAGGGTGGAAATACTTTGGAGGATTTGGCCAATGTTGTCTCTGGTTCCTGCGTTTTCCTGCAAGAGAATAACATTCCCTACAATGTTCTAATCTCTGATTCGGCAAAAAGGGTATTCCTTCTCCCACAGGTATAACGCCTAACTCTTCTAACCACATTGACTCATTTGAGACCTATTAACATTGCTAACTACTTGGTTGTTTGTTTTATTCTTTCCCGGGCTTTTACCAATCATCGTTCTAACATCTATGTATTTTGATGGATTGAAACAGTGCTATGCAGAGAAACAGGCTCTAGGGGAGGTCAGCTCTGAACTGCTTGACACTCAAGTCAATCCTGCAGTTTGGGAGATTAGTGGACACATGGTCTTGAAGAGGAAGGAGGATTACGAGGGTGCAACCGAGGCAAATGCTTGGAGGCTTCTCGCTGAGGTCTCACTTTCTGAAGCGAGGTTCCAAGAAGTGACGGCTCTCATCTTTGAAGCCATTGATTGCAGTGTTGAGGAGAATGAGAATGCCACTGAAGGTTCTCCTGAGAAGCCAGATGTTGCACCTCAGCCTATGGAGGAAATTGATGCTCTCAACACCCATGCTACCATGGTTCCCGTCTAGGGTTTTCATGGTCGAGCTGTGGTGTTTGTCCTGGTGTTACTATTTCAAATTTGCAACTATATGAACATTGAGGGAGTTTCTATCTATGGCTGCCCTAGTGAAATATCCCTAAATAAGGGTAGCCATGTTCTATGTATTGATGAAGTTGGTTGGTTCTTCTGTGAATTGAACCTTGTCTATTATTGCTTCATGTAATGTGGAGTTGGTCAGTGTCCTCTGTGAATTGACCTTGGGTATTATGTTTGCTGTCTGTTATTTAAGACAATATATTTGCTAATGGAAGTTGGAGTTTCCCTATTTATTGTCAAGCTTTCTGCTTTTGGTGTTTACTTACTTCCACTTGATTGATGATGGTGCTTTTGTATTTGAGCGAAGTACAATTATCACTCTTATTAGCACTTTCCTGTGTATGCTTTCTGCAGAATTTGAGATGATCTTAGCGAAAAACGCCAAGGAAATTATGCTTTAAAACTAATCGCATTTTATGGAATTGGATTTTTTTAATTAATCAACCTCATCCTGTCCATAGAACCCCTCAACTTTGAAATGAGACACATTTCAGTCCCTTTTTGTTTCAAACGGAACATAAATCCACCACCTCTGAACTTAGCTTTGTCAACCATCTTTCGCTTATCCAGTCCCATTTCTTATCATTTATCATTCGTTTTACCAAATGTAGATCAGACAGTTATAAAACTAAACCTTCCAAGCCAAATCTTAACTCAGAAAAAAACTTCAACGTATTCTACATTTTTGATTTTTCTAAAGTGGTAGTATCTAAAGTCTAAACCAAATTCGGCACAGCTCAATTAATCCATAGGATACCTACAATCTTCCACCAACACAGCTCAAATGGTAGTATTTCCAGTGAGGCTTTGACAGACGAGAAGAAATCATCTTAACTGTTAGTGCCTCTCTTGTGATTTGACCCTAGGCCCCGTTGTCCATTCTAGCTCCATTTGTTGTTAAACTATGATCTTGGGTGCTTCAATGTATTTGTGATTACCACCACAGAATGTAACCTCATTAATATGTAGTTTAATGAGGTTGATGAATGATGAACTCAAGTTTTCTGCTGATAATAATCATGGTCCATCTCAGAGGATTAAGAGTTTATATAATTACCATATGGTTGGTTATAGGGAGAACCCAAAACAAAAACTGCAGGCGCCAACCTGACCATAAAGCTTCGTCACTTTTTTTTAATCATTTTATTGTGCAATTAATTCTTATGTAATATTATCCTATTTTGCCAAATTACGATACAATTGTAAACATGTTAAGGTTACACATGTACAGAAAGAGCACCTAAATCAAAATCTCCATCGCTAGAGCACTATCACACCATTGCCAGAGCAAATTTTAGACCAATGGATGGAAAGTGAACCACTTGTACAAAAATCCACGACCAAACGTAAGACCACTTGTCTGAAGTCACTTGGAAGGTTTGAAACAAGTTAACTTGGATTTGGTCTGAAGTTGTGAATTAACAACCTATAAAAAAAATCCATGACCAAACCTATGAGTTAGAGCACTATTACAAGACTCCAAACAACAACAACAGAAATTACGAATAGCGACCACATCAACAGACCTGGATGAGTTTTGAATTTTTTTTCTTGGTATCTTATTACCTATTACAACTCTTTCTAGAAACTTTGATGTTTTATCCATATCACTACGGTTATAAACTTCAAAAACATTAACAGAATTAAGAATAGAAAGCATGGAGACATTTAGAAGGATTTGATGAATATAACCATCTCCATTGCCCGCTGGTATATGACTAAAGTTCCCAATACTACCAAATTAAGGCTACCATTTGCCATACAATTGACAATTATCATAAATCAAAGCGTCAAAAAGATAGTGCAAAAAGATGCCACTCCAGGAGCAGCAGAAACTCAACGTCAAATATTTATGATCTTCACTTCATTGTGAGCTGTGACACCTGCTTTTCCACATCTGTACCAATGCATGAGCACGTTAGTAGGTAGTTCTCTCCTGAAGACACAAATTTACGCATGCCAAAAGCTGAAGTGAGGACATGAAAAGTTATGTCTACATGCAGAGGCAAAAACGAAAACGCTAATAAGCTTCCCCAGCCTTGACAGTTGAAGGGGGAAAAAAGGAAGTCAGGCATTATCTACCAGTCTACCAGATTTCTCTACCTTGTGTTGTAGGTCCATCCTGAGGTTTTGCTTGTCCATCGTGAGGCTTGGCAGATTCCTCCTGAGGCTTTTTATTGCTGGGATGGAGAAAAGAAAACTCAATAAAATGTGTGAATGTAATAAATAGTAGAATGGAAAAGCACATGGGATCTGTCTTAAAAATGCAATAAGCCTCCTTATGGAACATTTCATTCTTGCAGTAGATATCTCTTTTTAGACCATCGAATGATGACATTATATTCTTTTCCACAAAGGCGCAACACAGACTTTAAAAAATCTGTGAAAACCATAAAGTTTCTGCATTTTCTACTTTCCACCAAGGCTACAAAGTACACAGCAAGTTAACTTAGATTATATCTTGAAAAAGCAACCCCTTCAGAACACCACCTATTCAGAACACCACCTATTTCTCCACTATAATACAAGGAAATACAGGTTTTCGCAGCTTGAACCTTGACGCAGACAAAAGCTTGATATTTTGATATGGATAAAGGGGCAGGCCCATTATCCACCGAGTTTTGAACCATTTGCCGCAGGCCCTCCGGCTTTTCTCGATTATCAAGAAAAAGAAGAGGTGTTTGTAGTTTTTCTTTCAAAGCTCCCAATTCATGCCAAGCAAGCATCAAACCACAGTTCAGGGCATTGTCCAATTTATAAAAGACGTAAGAATTTCCCCACAAATCCCTTGCCACTTAACAATGCAATATCATGTAACTCGCTCTTTTAAGGATATATCATCAAGCTCCTTTTAAAACCTGTGCTACGTCTGACAATTCAACTCTCAGAAGCTTTAGAGGAGTCACCGAGGGATTTTAAGAGCTTCTAGCATCACTCATTCTTCTCTTAGTTGTCACTATTATTCCACCAAATAAAGATTCAACTTCACATACATAATGTAATGAAAAATATTTATCTATGAGAATTTTAAATATGTTTCACTGGCAGCTAACCCTTGCTCAAACATAAGATCATAACAGAAATTTATAAGCAAATTTTTCTTGTTTCCTACAGCTAAGCAGAGACCACGATTTAGCACCACCCAAGAACAACCTAGTGAATTATTTTTGAAAAGATTCCTCAAAAGTAGGTCACCCAAAGCCACTGCTTGGTCAATATTCATTAACATGGATATTATTTACAATTCTATGATAATGTTGTCCAGCGCAGCTTTCATGCGCCTCGACTATTCCACACGGGAAGTAACTCCACCTACCAAGACTAAAAATATTCAATTGACCTATCAGTTTACTAGGTTTAATATCACACTAATGCCAGCAAATATCACTCAGAGGACAGAATGGAGGAAATATTTACCTTTCCTTGGAAGGTGGCTCGTCCTGTGGTTTCATGGCTGGAAAGAGTAGAACTTCCTGTTGAACAAATTATAACAAGGGAAAGAAAAAAAAGATTTCAGTATCTAATTCAAATGATAGGACACACTAGCTTTCTCAAACCGAAATGACAAGAAAAGGAGAGAGGGAAAATGCAAAGACAACACTAAGCTGGTAAAATGACCAGCACTACCCTAGCGGCCTCTTCTCTGAATGCCTCCTCTCCATCCATTTAGAAATGGATGTGAAACAGAATATCAAAGGAATTAATTGGAACTGAATGGCCATTTCATCCTAGTTAAAATAAAATGCACATTGAGTCTAACTAAACCCCAAAAGCTAGATCATGAGGTGAGAATTGTCTGAAATCGTATAATGAGACAATCCATTTTCTAAACCAATGTCAGATATTGTAACCTCCCCAGATGCCTAGAGTTGGACCTCTGGAACAGGGACAACATAACATGGCAAGCATGGTGACCCACCATTGGATAAACCAAGAACACGCATGAGTCTGGCTCTGACATCACGTCAAAAAAAATATACATTGGGCTTAACTCAGTCTCATGAGGTGAGGATTGTCTAAGACCTAATAGGAAACAACAACCCATTCCCTCAGCCAAAGTGGATACTCTAACATTCCGAGATAGATTGGAACTAAGTGGTAATTTCTTACTAACAAAGAAAACAAGTGAAGGCACAAACCTTGATGTTTTGTGAATCTGTTAACAACATTGCAAGTCGGTCAATACCCAATCCCCAACCACCAGTAGGAGGCAATCCATATTCAAGAGCTGTACAAAAGTTCTCATCCAGTGCCATAGCTTCATCGTCACCTGATTGTCGGTCCTGAATTGACATTAATCATGCTAAATAAGTAGTGGCGCATAATAGAAATGACACAACAAGATGAACACAACACAAACACAACAACCAAATCAGGATGCACACTTCCCACAAATACCTTGAGTTGATCAGCAAAACGCTGGCGTTGGACAACAGGGTCATTCAATTCAGTGTATGCATTGCAAAGCTGTCAAGTTATTTAACAGAGAAGAAGCACATTACAGCGTGTATTGGGAGTGCTAAAAACAGTTTGAAAGACTTGACAGAATACATACTTCATGCTTATTAATAAACAATTCAAAACGTTCTGTCAGGCCTAGTTTTGATCTGTGTCACTTTGCCAAAGGACTCATTATCTCTGGATGGTTGATAATAAAAGTAGGGTTATCACATGTCTCCTCCAGAAAGTGCCCTACAAGCTGAATTCACAACAAAGATGAAGGAGAATTATTAGCAATGTTATAAAGCTTCTTAGGTGAAAAAACTAGTAATAAATAGCAGTAATGTAGTGCCAAAAGAATGAGAACACTGACTCCCATAAATACATGTTTTTTGAAGTATCACCAATAAATGTACAACATGAAATAACTTCAAACATTTCTGGAGATGATATGCAAAAAGGCAAACATACAGCAAAATGATTCACATATTACTCAAAGTTAGATGCAAAAAAGCAGACATACAGCAAATTGATTCACAACCAATTTAACAATGAGGCTCCAACTAGGGATATCATATTTAACGAATAACACATAATACAGGATAAATGCCACAAGTATTGCAGGATATTAACACTAAGATATCACTAAAATGCTAGCAATCCTTTACATCTCTATTTATTTCTTCTAACATATGATAGGTCGCATTCCTCCTCTTTTTATAAACGTTTCCTTTTTTGGTCTAATTTTTCCACACTACCCTCTCTCTTTCTTTACCCTAACCTTGTGCTGCCTCATGTAG